AAAAAAAAACTTAGAAACATCTTACCTACAGGGCAGTCTGGATGTTCCTTACTCGGGTGCATTCTATTATGGTAAATTTTGAGATAGACATCGTCGGCATATCGTAAGCTACGCAGTCGAAGAAGCCCTTCCAGACTCTCGTCAATATCCATAGAAAACGTCGTTTTAGATGAGCATGATTCATCTTTACAGATTTTCGCCTGGAAAAGAGATTGCAAAAGAAAGGATTATCATCTAGAAAATAACAAGGATTTGCGAGGCACTTACCCCAATTCTCATCAGTTCATCTCCCAGTGATTCGGCAACGTTTTTCGCATGAGTAGCGAACAAATTAAGTGTCATCATACATCGACAACATCCACGTCGCTTACGATGATCAAACAGTGTTATCAAAATTAGCGGCAAAAATCCGGCGTGTGAAAAATCGTCAGATTCAGTGTCTTCTACGCAATAGCTCGTCAATACTCGTTTATTACGTACATATCGATTTACGCTAAACATTTTCTGGGGACTTTTCATTTCGGTTTTAAGCCTTTGCTATTTTGGGTTTTTGCTTGTAGAATTTCAAGTAAATCCTCTTCTTGATTCAATATTGTCGAATGATGAAAGTTCACCCAGATATGGTGAGGCAACGAAGATCAAAAGATCCTGACAATGTCCAAATTGTCACTGAATCAAGCTCAAGTCCAGATAAACAAAACATGTCGAAAACCAAACCGAATGGAGTGCTTGAAGAGGTAATTTGTTTATTTGTAGAGATTCCGCATAGATTTTTCATCACTTCAGAAGAAGTACTGTAGATAAATATTCTAGCTTTTTAGAAGAATTACTTATATCATTTAAGAGCCATTTGCTCTTTGAACGAGGGTTTTAGTGAACTCAGTCATTTTGACATCATGCCATCAAATGCGCTCTGAATAGTGTTCTTTCATAAGTGTGGTATTATTTCTACAAGAAATTGCGACCGTTTCCTCATAATGTAAGGTGAGCACGATCTTTCCCTGCTGCTCAATAGGTTTGATTCTAACACAGGGAAAAATAGCTATCTAAAAAAATATCGTACCCTTACCATAGTTAAGGATGAGCTTTAGTTTTTTTTTAGTTTTTTTTTAGTTTACTTTCAGAGTTTTAGTAATTGCTTCTTTCATCTTTTATCGCGCATGTAAGCCAAAATAACATCATGTAAAGGTTATGCGCCCCGAGATGTATGCAGTGGTGTCTTGTCACAAATGGACATTCTTACCTAAATTGCTTTTCCTTGTAGTATTCAAATCTTTAAAATTATAAGCTGAACATTGTGAATGCAACAACGATTGTAACATAAATTTTTCAGTCATTTGTTTACTCGCCAGAATCTGCTTTAGTCAACGATAAGGAAGAATTCCAAAAATTAAAATTGTAAAGTAGTACAGAGAAGTTTTCGCACTATAGTCAAGAACGAGTCAGGCTATGGCAAGTCTTGAATTAAGATGAAGGTTTTTTATTTCTAGTCCAAGGAGAATGAATGAGTCAATTTTTTTTCAAACAGAGAGTCAATTCTCAGCACATATGAGAGTAAGACGAAACCTTGAGTCTTGGGATAGT